TTTATAAGACCAGTTTATCTTATATAATTTCCTGAAACTGATTCAACATACACAAGCACATTCTGGCTTATTTTCCCTAGATACTGGATGTTGGTATTGAAGGACTGATACTTTAAGTGAATTCCTCACCTAATAGAAAATTAGAGTTTCTGAATGACTTTGACAAGCTGAAAAAATAAGTATAATGAAGCTTCTGGGGATAAATGAAGGATAGTTTGCTTTGTGAAGAAAAAAAATCTGCAAAAGAGAATGCAAAAAAAGTTAGCTATACAAAGATACGCATTAAAAATTATTGTTTCACTGGAGGAAGTCATAAAATTATACCCTCGGGGGTGGGGGGGGGGGGGGGGCGGGGGGGGCCGGGGGGAGGGCAGAGGTGAAAAGATCCCAGAGAAGACGGTTGCATTGTACATCCAGGCAGAGAAGGCTGGTTCCTAAAGTCCCTGTGTGACACAGAAGCCACAGAGAGCTACCTGACTTCAAGGACCAACCACGGACTTGATATTGAGAATGGAAGCATGAGAAATCCCCTGGAAATTAAAAGCACTGATATTTGCATCCCATCATCCCTCCCCACACTACCTCCCAACCCGCCTAATTGTCTAACTACTGCATAGGCCTCTCTGACTTCGGTGCAGCCTTGAAGAAGAGAAGAGGACCAGCTATAACAAGGCTGGAATTTCCCGATGGTTTGTCAGGAGGTTGAAATTAATGTAAAGGAAACAAAGTCTTATTGACTATATACTCAAGTCCAGAGTCCGAGATTCATACTTGCTAAATGATTAGATTTAAAAATCTTTTCTTATATATATTTTTGATTTTGATATAATGCTAAGAATAGTCTTTCCCATCCCGAAAATTTTTTTAACTGTCCTATAAATTTTCTAGTACACTAATGATTTCATTTTTATTTTTACATCTTTAATTCATTTTCAGTTTATTCTGGTGTGTTTTGTGTGTAGTCGGAATGTAATTTTAAAATTGTTTCCAAAATGGTTAGCCAGTTTAATCACCATCTCAACCCTATATCAAACTCCCGATGGTATAAACTGGATGCCCTGGGAATGTGAAGCCAGAAGTTGTTCCTTTTTTCCCTTTCTTATAATTTGTCAGTCTAGTCACTTTTCTAGTTTCCTTCAGCTTTATTCTCTTTCTGTTTATTCCACCCTGAAGCCAAGGTGATCTTTCTTAAAGACAAATCTGCTCATGCCATAATAGTCGCTGACAAATATTAGGAGCGCTATGCTGTGTACGAGGAATCTGCTCTGTGAGGCAGAACCAGAACTCCTGGTAGGAAACTTTGGTGCAAATTTAAATTGTCAAACAGTGAAGTGTCCTGTAATAGAAGGAAGTGATTCCTTGTTTGGGTTCTCTGCGAAAATATTTCAGACTGGAAGAACGCTCTGAGGAACGCCGTGAAGGAGACTCTGTCACAGGCAGAAAGTTGGAAGAGATGATTTCAAGATTCCACAATTACGCCGTGCGTGTGGAGTTCTATAGACCAGAGCTCAAAACGCAACAAATGAGGGGAAAAATTACAATTGTTAAGATATCTCCTGTTTAAACATATCCACTCTTCTATTAAGTGCTATGTTTATTTAATAGTTTTATAATAATGGAATTGAATTTTCTGAATATCTAATATATTTATTTATAACTGTTTTCTTTGTTACTAGTATAGTAGTTTGTTGCAAAACAATATTCTCATGAAATGTTAATGTATATTTTCTCTCTCTGTTTTAGATATCTAATTAATTATGATGGCTTAAATATATTAGCCAGAATTTGATCTTTACATAATTCCTTAAAGCGATTTCTTGCTTTTAGTATGCAGTAATATTATTGGACCATAATTTTGGTTAAAAATTTGAAGAAAAGATTTATTATACTTTTTAGCAATATCCATCAGCTCAACACTGATTATCATATGAAACAGGGGCAAGGAGAGTATCAGAATGTCATGGTTGAGCG